AATCTTCTTTGAAAAAACCCAAATAGCTAGAGTTTAGATGTTAAGCATGAAACATCTTCTAGTAAGTGTCTACAAAGTTTGTTCAAATAAAAGCCCTGGGGTCAAAACTGGCCCCGCCTTAGGGGTGTCATTGTTTTTAACTATATGCATGTGTATAGTAAAAACTTAAAAATCTTCTTTTAAAAAACCCAATGAGCTAGAGCTTAGATGTTTAGCATGAAATATCTTCTTATGGATGTCTACCAAGTTTGTTCAAATAAAAGCCCTTGGGTGAAAATTGGCCCTGTGGGGGGGTGGGGGGTATGAGAACATTGTTTTTCATTACATGTGTGTAGTAAAAACTTAACCCATTACTTCATGAGCATTTTGTGAAAAATGGCTGTTTTCATTGAAAAGTCTCCCGTTACAAGTTCAAATTGCTATAATACTATAAAAACTGCTTCAACACTAATCAAACTTGGCACAAATGTTGACTGGACCATTGCACTTGCAACAACATGCTCAGGCTTAAATTTTCTGTTACCATGGCAACGAGGGGACATCTCAAAATTGCCAAAAATCACTATTTTGCGTTGATTTTTTCCATCAAAATTGATTTCAAAGTGCTGCACTTTCTCAATGGATTGAGATAGAGTCAAATGCTTTTCAGCGTTGGTTACACGTTACCTTATGATCAATCTGGGGTCATTTACAGCCTCTCCCAAGTCCAAAATTTTTCTTGGCGATGAGGGGGACTCCGCCCCCCTTCAAACCCCCCAAACAGAAGGGGGCACATCCCCCTTCTGGCAACCCCCTGATGTGTCTTTTGGTTGGGGGGCCGCGCCGAAAAAGAGGTCACTTTTTGAACAACATTTCTCAAACAAAAACAAGTGTTTGGGGCCTAAATAAGGCATTTTTTTCATCATTTGAGACAACAAAAAAAGGGGGGGGGGGTGAAAAAGGCGTTAAAAGGCGTGTATATGAAGTAATGGGTTAACATTGTGAAACATCTTCTAATGAGTGTCTTCCAAGTTTGTTCAGATAAAAGCCCTGGGGTTTAAACTGGCCCCGCTCCGGGGGCCTATATAGTCAGGTGAGCGACCTCAGGGCCATCATGGCCCTCTTGTTTGAGCATTTAAAAATGCATTATTCAATTTTTGGTGACAATATCATTAAAAGTTAAGAGGCAATACGCTAAATTCATGTAATTGGGCCAATAATACAATTTTTTTTGTATTTCTTATTTTAGGCCATTATCAATAAGCAACTAAAGGGCACTAATTGATTGATTTTGCAGCAATGTGCATTATTCATTTAAGGATGGTATGTATTATTCATTTAGGGACAATAATTAATATGTATTATTCATATATTTTCGCTGTGAGAAAATAAATTTATCAAACAGACTGACAGTAAGCAAGTCTCTATAAAGACAAATTGATCAAGTGGATATGCATATAGACATATGCAATAAATTCAATCATTAATTACCTAGAACAGGGAAGGAAATTATTTAGTCTTCTGTGACCATAGCAGACTGGTTATTTGTAGAATATCAATTAAGACTGTAGACTGGTATAAATTATCCAACTGTCTACGGATCTTGTATTTTTCACTTGAATAATGTATTGGCCCTTTTCTGAGACAAAGCCGGGACACAGACAAACAATAGACTGGTACACAAACAGACAACAGACTGTGTAACCATGTGATCATGAAGTTTTTCTGGAAATCAACATCAGTAATTTATCTGTCTCATAAATATTTCATAAAGATTGATAATTTCAGAAAAGCCAGCAGTCTCAAGGCCAGATCATTTCATCACATCTAATCTTTGATCCCTGTCTGATGAATAGTTCTTCCATTTTCTATAAGATATGAATCATTTTGTTGTGTTTTCTTTTGTTTTGTTTTCGTCAGGTTATAGCAAATGTTTTTGTTTCTGTTTTAAATATTGAGGGCTATAGGTTAAAGCTATAATATTGAGGGCTATAGGTTACAGCTATAATATTGAGGGCTATAGGTTACAGCTATAATATTGAGGGCTATAGGTTACAGCTATAGTATTGAGGGCTATAGGTTACAGCTGTAGTATTGAAGGCTATGGGTTAAAGCTATACTATTTAGGACCATAGGTTAAAGCTATAGTGTTGAGGGCAAATTGTGTATGGAAATGAGGGCCATAGCTTTGATATTGAGGACTAAAGATGCAATATTGAGGGAATTAATGGAACATGCAGTCATTCATTTATCCTTTGAACACATTTCAAGGTTTTGAGAAAAAAAATGTTTTTCTGACCTTCTGTGGTGTGCAGTTTTAAGAAAAATATTGTTTTTCTGACCTCTGGCATGCAGCTTTAATATAAGTTGAATGTGACCTTGCAGTGGATTATAAAGAACTGTAAAACTGTATTATAGATATGGTTACACTTGCATTTATCTTAGAATATAATGATCAATACCAACTGTTGCAAGATTAGATGAATAATGTTGCACTATAAATTGATAAAACATTTTAACTTGTGCGTTATTGTACACTATCTAACATGCAATGTTTTCGTCTTTCTTTATTTTTTCTTGCCTAAATCTGTTATCGCAGAATTTTCTTGTGCATAGAGCATAATGGTTTTTAATTGGGAAAAAAAAATCGAGGCTATTTTGATGTGATGAAATTTTGTATGGTGTTGTTGTTGTTTTTGCTGGATTTTCTCTGATTTTCGAGAGATGTAAATGACTGGATTTTGAGGTCAATACAAGCTGTGACAATATTTATGGCTTCACAAAATACCTGGCGTATTACTCATTTACTTATCCTTGCAAAGGAAATCATTACCTTATGTAAGTATATTGTAAAGTTTGAATGGAAACAATCTATAGGAGTTGTCAGCGTTTATCTTGTTCCTTGAGAGGGAAATTATAACCTTATGTAAAGTATATTGTAAAGTTTGAATGGAAACAATTCTGATCTGATTTGTATAGAGCTGTCAGTGTTTTATCTTTTGGAGGATCGACTTTTGGAATTTTATTGTGTAGGGTACAGTTTAACACACGTTTAACTTAAAGTGGGATGATGCTTCTAAATTGATGCTAATTTTTTATGAAATTTTTTAAAATGTATTAATAAAGAAATAAAATATTGTGAAGTTAACAAAGACAATAATGCACATTTTGCAAACTATGAAAAATAACAAAAATAAGTCGGAATGTTCAAAAATATTTCTTACTGTGTTACCTCACACTGTAGAAATATGGTAATATTTCTTAATAAGTCATTAAATGGTAATAACATGTAAATAAGCCATTGAATTGTGAATATTTTTGCTTGTCTTAAAACATTGATACCTTTTCCCCCAATGTGGTTACGTTTAGCGCGGAGGAAGGTAGTACTGGAACGATGGTTAGGAAACTAACCGCCTAAATGACTGAAATACTGCTGGAAAAAGGCGTAAAATGAAACAAACAAACAAAAAAAGTTAATTGTTTTGAAATAGTTTGGCTCATCTGGAGGCTTGCAGCTTTAAGACATATTACTTTCAGTGTGGATGTTGATATTTATTTCCTGATGTCATTAATTTTGTTCACATTGTCCATTTTCATGCATGACAATTTTTGTTAAGGGCATCAATTTTCTGACACTTTGTTGACATCATCAATTTTCATGACAATATTTGTTTGTGGCCATTTCTTGACAATATTTATTTGCTGCATCAATTTTATGACAATATTAATTCTATTCTCATCAATTTTCATGACAATATTTGTTTAGGGCAATATCAATTATCAGGACAATATTAACAGCATAACTTTCATGACAATTTTTCTCTTTATATGGCATCAATTTCATGACAATATTTGTTTATGGCATCACTTTCATAATATTTGTTTACAGCATCAATTTCATGACAATATTTGTTTACTGCATCAATTTCATGACAATATTTGTTCACATATTCAATTTTCATGACAATATTTGTTCACATCATCAATTTTCATGACAATATTTGTTTATGGCATCAATGTTCATGACAATATTTGTTTATGGCATCAATTTTCATGACAATATTTGTTCACATCATCAATGTTCATGACAATATTTGTTCACATCATCAATTTTCATGACAATATTTGTTTAGGGCATCAATTTTCATGACATTGTATTTGTTCACATTGTCAATGTTCATGTCAATGTTTATTCACATCATCAATTTTTATGACAATATTTGTTAACATCATCAATTTCCTGTTCAGACTTTATATCTATCATTCCTTCATATGACAGATTTATTTTTTGTATAAATATAAGAAAGTCTTGACAAAAAATTTGTTGTTACAAATAAATAAATTGTATTGCCATTCTTTCTTTGTCAGAATTTATTTTATGTATAAATATCAAAAATTCTTGACAAAATTTGTCATTACTATTTCATGACATCATAAATTGTGTTGTTCTATTTCCTATCGTTTACATTTTGTTCTTACTGTGTCATATCATTTCTCTGTCACCCTTTCTTTCTATCACTCCAAAATGCCATTGGTCTTTGTTAATTACTTTGGGATTACCTCCCCAGGCAGAAATAATCATAAGTAATTTGGGGAAAGTTCTTTCCACTTAAATTGTCACAGCAACAGGAGGGAAAAACTTAATGTAATTTCTAGTAAAGAAACACTCAGTATTTCCAGTGACCCTGTATAATTGATATTTTTTCAGATATTATTTGCTATTGGAGTTGCATATCTGGTAGTTTCATATGTAGAGTTCTGCTTAAGCCGGTACTTATAGATGCATGAACCTTGGCTTGTATAATTATGTACACTGCCGTCCATAAACAGGCTGGCTCAGAGTACAACCAAGCAATGCAACATTTTCAATTATAACTGTATGACCTAGTGTTAAGGATTCCATTTTGATTTATTTTAGAATGAAATTACTTAAAATAGCCATTCCTGAAATAATTTTTAGATCTGTGTATTTTATGAATGGAGATTTATCTATAATGTTAATTAATTGTTGTATTTTTCAGAGTCGATGTGAAGCTTGATTTTGTTGGATCATGCTGTACTCTTGTTGCAGAAGAGCTTCTGAATGACCCAGATTTTGAGTTAGATGACACAGTAGCTCAGCTGCTTTATGGTAAGATGATTTATTTTATCACTACTTTAAAATTGGCCAAGTGGTCATTTACTTCAAACAACTTGCCCCTTACTGCTGTGGGTTCGAAAAAATTCTACAAAATTCTTTCTTACTCTGGACAATTCCAAATTCAGAGCAGGTCTGAAATCCATTACACAAGTTTAGCAGGGGAAAGGTTTGGGAGGGGGAAACAGCTTTTATGTTAGATGTGTGAACAAGTAGCAATAAATAAACCATAAAATACATGATAAAATAAGACAAGTGGTGTTCAATATGGAAACCTTGAGTAAATGGCATTTGCCATGGAATTATTGTTGTTAATGTTTCACATTGAATTATTTGTGTTGACATTTTCCATGTGATTATTAGGGTTAGCATTTCCCATTGGATTGTTGATGTTGGCATTTCCCATGGGTTGGTTGAAGTTTGCATTTCTCATGGAATTATTGATGTTAACATTTCCCATTGGATTATAGATGGTTTACATTTCCTATTTGTAAGGTTGGCAATCCCATGGGATTGTTGAGGTTTACATTTCCTATGGCATTTGTAAGGTTGACAATTCCCAAGGGATTATTAAGGTTTATATTTTTCATGTGAATGATGAGGTTTACATTTCTCATGGGCTTTGTACGGTTGACATTTCCCATGGGATTGTTGAAGTTTACATTTCTAATGGGATTATTGATTTCCAATCATGGGAGTATTGATGTTCACAGTTCCCATGGGCATGGGGGATTTCGGTGGTTAAGTAATGAAATTATTCACAATATCAGTATGGAGTATTGAAAAGTGGACATCTCCAAAAGGGGACCCATTCAATCGCAGCAAAGTTGATTGAACCTGTTCATTGATGGCATTGGTCAAATTGCAAGCATAGACAGAATTCACTTTTGTGCAATTCCATACAATGCTTTGACAATTTGGAAACTTTTTGTTTTATTGTGCTCAACCACTAAGTAGCACATGCTAAATTTCTGTAGCAGAGTATTGTTTACATGTATACAAGATTCTAAGCAACACATAACAAACAAACAAAAGTATCCCTCAATACGTCATAATTATTTTGACTAGCATAACTCTTACAATACCAATGGCATTATATTGTCACTTCATTACAGTAACAGGTTAAATCTTAATATAATTTAAGAGGAGTTAACCCGCTTCTGTACTAAAGTGACTGATAATATTGCTGCTGGCACTGAAAGAGTAAATTACCATAAAAAAACATAGGAATGTATGTGATGGATAAGCATGAAATGTTTTTTTGGTAACTACAAAAAGTAAATCATACATCTCCCATGGGATTATTGATGTGGCTGCCTGGAGGTTAAAGTTACTTTGAACTATCACCTCAATAACATGTTGATGGGAGAAGTACACGCAAAGAAAGCGATAAGCTTGTTATTATGGGGAATAGGAAGCCCAAGGATAAAATGTTTCTGCCACATCATTATAAAAAAAAGTAGAAGATCGGTACCAGTTGATTTGATGCTGAACTTTCTTCTTTTATTATGCCCCCATTTCGAAGAAAAGGGGGTATATTGCTTTGCACTTGTCGGTCCGTCGGTCCGTCGGTCCGTAGACCAAATGGTTTCCGAGTGATAACTAAAGAACCCTTAGGCCTAGGAACTTCAAACTTGGTATGGTGATTGGTCATGACCAGTAGATGACCCCTATTGATTTTGGGGTCAGGGGGTCAAAGGTCAAGGTCACATTGACCTTGTAAGCAAAAACGGTTTCCGATCAATAACTAAAAGAACCTTAAGGCCTAGGAACTTCAAACTTGGTAATGGTGATTGGTCATGATCAGTAGATGACCTATTTTGATTTTGGGGTCAAGGGGTCAAAGGTCAAGGTCACATTGACCTTGTAAGCAAAAAAACGTTTTTCCGATCAATAAAACTAAAGGAACTTTTAAGGCCTAGGAACTTCAACTTGGTATATGGTGATTGATCATGATCAGTAGATGACCCCTATTGATTTTGGGGTCAAGGGGTCAAAGGTCAAGGTCACATTGACCTTGTAAGCAATAAAACGGTTTCCGATCAATAACTAAAGAACTTTAAGGCTAGGAACTTCAAACTTGGTATGGTGATTGGTCATGATCAGTAGATGACCCCTATTGATTTTTGGGGTCAAGGAGTCAAAGGTCAAGGTCACATTGACCTCTTGGGTAAAAAACGGTTTCTGATCAATAACAAAAGAACCCTTAGGCCTAGGAACTTCAAACTTGGTATGGGTGATTGGTTATGACCAGCAGATGACCCCTATTGATTTTGGGGGTTAAGATGTCAAAGGTCAAGGTCACATTGACCTTGTAGGTAAAAACGGTTTCCGATCAATACGAAAGAACCCTTAGGCCTAGGGACTTCAAACTTGATATGGTGATTGGTCATGATTCAGTAGATGACCCCTATTGATTTGGGGCCAAGGGGTCAAAAGGTCAAGGTCACATTGACCTCTTTGGGTAAAAACGGTTTCCGATCAATAACTAAAGAACCCTTAGGCCTAAGGAACTTCAAACTTGGTATGGTGATTGGTCATGAACCAGCAGATGACCCCTATTGATATTGGGGGTTAAGGGGTCAAAGGCAAGGTCGCATTGACCTTGTAGGTTAAAAACGGTTTTCTGATCAATTAACTAAAAACGCTTAGGCCTAGGAACTTCAAACTTTGTATGATGATTGGTCGTGACCAGCAGATGACCCCTATTGAGTTTTGGGTCAAGGGGTCAAAGGTCAAGGTCACATTGACCTTGTAAGTTAAAAAACGGTTTCTGATCAATAACTTAAGAACGCTTAGGCCTAGGAACTTCAAACTTGGTATGGTGATTTGTCATGACCAGCAGATTACCCCTATTGATTTTGGGATCAAGGGGTCAAAGGTCAAGGTCACATTGACATTGTAAGTAAAAAACGGTTTCTGATCAATAACTAAAGAACGCTTCGGCCTTAGGAACTTCAAACTTGGCATGATGATTGGTCATGAGCAGCAGATGACCCCTATTGACTTTTGGGCGGGTCAAAGTTCAAGGTCACATTGACCTTGTATGTTTAAAACGGTTTTCCGATCATAACTAAAGAACCCTTAGGCCTAGGAACTTCAAACTTGGTATGGTGATTGGTCATGACCAGCAGATGACCCTTATTGACTTTGGGGTCAAGGGGTCAAAGGTCAAGGTCACATTGACCTTGTAGGTAAAAAACGGTTTCTGATCAATTAACTAAAAACGCTTAGGCCTTAGGAACTTCAAACTTTGTATGATGATGGTCGTGACCGCAGATGACCCCTATTGAGTTTTGGGTCAAGGGGTCAAAGGTTAAGGTCATGACCAGTAGATACTTGATAACCCTTATTAATTGTTTGATCACTGGGTCAGAAGTCATGCATAATAACCTTATCACATGACTAATTGGCTGCTGATAGGGGGCATACGCGTACATGTTTTACAAACATATCTTGTTTTTAACAGCTGTATTTGAACACTAGATTTGTTTGCAATTTATATCTTTAAATCAATGAATGGTTGTTTCTTGTGGAACTTCAATCAAGATTGTTGAAATCATTTAAATTCATTGAATAATAATGTCCATTTAGTTTAATCAAATTTATTTTAGTTTGATTGTGTTGGAAGCTATAAGCTTATATTGAAACACTCTGGCTTGCCCCTGACAGGGTTTGAACCCACGTGGTCAGCAATCCTTAGATTACTAGTCTGACACGTTAACCACTTGGTCACGCTGCCACTTGGGTGTGTTGTCTCATTTTCAGGAGTATATAAAGGGAAAACTTTGAAAATATTAGTTTAATATTGAAATTGTGTCATAGACTGGATCATAAGAATTACGACCTTTTCAAACAATGACTTTCAGGTGAGCAAACTTAGGCCATCATAGTTTGTTGAATGGACATATAAATTTCATTTCTGATAACAATAATAATACAATTGTGAAGAAAAACAAAACTGAAATGATAGATTTCCATATATCATGACGATAATGATCATGTGTGTATGAAAGGACAAAAGAGAGACAAAACTGTATTGACCATATTGTGTATTGTCTGACATCAGTTATTATAATAAAGAAAGGAAAATCATCATATTGGGGGAAAAAATGGTTGGCAAATTGTATTAGTATATTTAATGACATGGAAAAAAGCTGTTATTTAGTTATCAGTAGCTATATAAATGGCAATCCTATAATGCCACAAGTATAAAAGAGCAGGCAAAGTGGTCTATTAGTAGCAATCTTTGACTTATAAGGGGTAGCACAGGTTCGATCACCCCACTACTCTGATTAAAATTTGTTTATACAGAATTTATTTTTGTTTGATTGTGTAGGAAGCTATAAGCTTACAAATACACTCTAGAATTCACTCCGGTAAGGGGCAAGTAGTTGTTTCCTTAAGTAGGTAGCTTTACATTCATTACTTAGTGACTAACAGTTGGTTATAGGAACCCCATCAGGGGCAAGCTATAATTTCCTTTGCGAGTAACTTTACACTCAGGGACAAGCCATATTTCCTTTAGCAAGTAAATTTACACTCAGGGACAAGCCATATTTCCTTTAGCAAGTAGTTTTACACCTTGGGGCAAGCCATTATTTTCTTTAGCAAGTAACTTTACTCTCACTGCTAAATCAGTATTGGTTGGTACCAGGAACAGATTTGAGAGTGTTTCTATTATGCTTATTATGCCTCCTACACAATCATTGACTAAAATAAATTCTGTATAAAGTGATACTGACATGAAAGCTAAAAATACATAAATAGACAAAATAATATTGATCATGCATCACATTGGCGGAAAATACAATAATAGCCTGAAAAATACAATATGACTCATCATGAAAAAAAACACTACGGCAAATTTACTTAGCATTATATTCAATGAAAAGTGTTTGAGGTTGATTAACTTGGGAAGAGTTTTTCAGCACGCTAATTCTCGTTTGTATTCATAGCATTATATAAGTACCCTCGAAGGAATTAGGAATAAA